CCCCAAAACCCCAAAACCCCAAAACCCCAAAACCCCACTGGGCAGAATTATAATTGAAACCAAACATGTTTAAGATCTTTAAAGGGTAAGCAAGAAGGGTTATGACTGGTGGGGAGGGGAGATTGGTTAAAGGAGAAGAGACTGGAGTAGGGGTTGGTTGTGTGGGGATGTGTGAAAATGTTGGAATAGGTGCTGAGGGAAGTCTGAGGTCAAGAAATCTATTAGGAAGAAGGTGAGTGATCTTTCAATTTGTTTAGAGCAAGAAGGAAGGAGGGGCACACAGAAGTATGAAATCTAAACATGGGCAGAAACGAGACGCTAATAACAAAGGTATCTGATGGTATTAATTATTTAGAGACAGCCAATTGTACAATCTGTTTTGAAGGCTTTGATGAACACAAGCATAGGTTCATTCAGACTCAGTGCGATAAGGCATTAAAAGCAATTAATGAAGAACTTAAAGGAGAAGAACATAAGGTATACTATTTCTTCTATTTATTATAGAATGAAACTATCGCTATCATTTACCAGAAGAACAGTGCAGATGTGGAAAAAGATGAACAAAACAACAGACTTTCTTGCCAAGATAAGTTCAACAAGAACAGAAGCTTAGAGCTTTACACTATTAAACAAACTGATTTAATTCAATCAAATGGGAAAGTTTTGGAAAACATGGAAACTGATGGAGTAGCAATTCTGGTTGGATGCAAGCATGTATTTCACAACACCTGCATCAATTCATGGCTTAAACAAAATAACACATGCCCAGTTTGCAGAAAGGTTAGCTCTTACTTTCCTCAACAGTTTAACATCATTTAGAATGTTCGCTACACCAGTTTACTCAATCTATTCTTCCTAAGAAGCCATGCTATTAATTTCCCAAACGAGAACCCTGACCTCCAACACAACCCTTCATCATATGTTTCCGGTCCTAGTTGATATTTCTCCCTTTGAGACAGTGACTAAAATATTCCATAATCTCCTCCATCAGATCTCGACCTGCCACAACCCAGCTCTAATCTGTTCTACACAAATCTTTCAACTGAGAGATAAATGTGAGGGGTTTTGGGGTTTTGGGGTTTTGGGGG